TGCCGTCGGGAAACTCGAGACTCCGTCGAGCTGGATCCCGTTTATTAATGATAACGACGTTCCCCCTATCGATCGATCGACGACTTTTCAAACTTTCACGCGAACACCAGACTACGTTTGTTTTTTTCAACGAGCACTGGACTAATTTACGGCAAACCGGAATAGCTGTCACACACGGACCGGTGTTCCCTTCGTCTAAGAGCGGGGCGATGAATCGGTGACGTGTTTATATGCAGGGACTTGAATCGGTATGATTTTGATACCGGTATTATGCCATCAAAGCAACATTGAAACCGATATATTACCGAGAACCGAAATAAATAACGGTATTTTTTCGATGTTTATAAGGGTAGGGTTTATACAGGGTGAAACACGAATCGTGATCAGTAGATATAATTAGATGTGTTCCAATGTACAGAACGAAATGTTTGCAAACAGTAGGCAAGAGCTCAACATCGGAACGCTTACAATGGCGTAGCATACGATACTCTTTGTAATATAACAGTTCGAATATTTCTTTAATCTTTTCTCGACCCAGATGAAAAAAAAACTAACACATGCTATGTTATGATACTTACCGCATTCGTCTTGAAATCCTCTAACAGATAGACGTAAAAAAATTTTAGGTGTATTTGCAAAAAATTGAAGGTGACCTTGAAAAATCATGACAAAAAAGTGTTGACAAAAATTTGCTATAATCACGTTAAAGGTCTCTTGAAACCATGCTATATCTGATAAAAACATTTTCGATCGGACTGCTAATAATAGAGTAATCTCTACTGATCACGATTTGTGGTTCACCCTGTATAGGGTTATATAGGGCGAAGGTACAACCGAAAATACCGGTATTTTACATTTCGGTAGATGTCCCTGTTTATATTTAAAGAGTAGTGGATATGATTCCGTGAAGATTCGTTGGCTGATGCCCCTCTACTTCCTTCCTTCCCCTTTTAACTGTCAGGGAGGCTGACATGATAGGAATAGTGAAGCGAACGTCAAATCAAAATGTCGTGTTTATAGAAAGAGGACACTTGATATACATTTTATAAACAGTAGGTATTTTTAGTAAAGAGTCACTGGACTTCTAAACAAAATGAACCATTCGTATGTTGAAATAAATTTGTAATAAAATTTATAAATAAATTAATCACAATATAGATCTAGAAACTATTCGTACGTGCGATATTGAAAGTGACCAAACGTCGTACCTTAAAAGACAATCAGAAGCTCGTATCGAGCAATATTTTGCGGTAACGAAGTAACAGTATTGTTTAGGAAATTTTTATGTCTTTCGTGGGGGTGAACACTTCCCCCCCACCTTTTGTCCGAACCCTGTAAACAAAACCATTGTACCCGGAGTTTACGCCGCAAAGTGGATTAAAACTATTTTCATTGTTTTTCTAAAAGAAAAAGAAAGAACAAGAAGAAGAAAAGATAGGGTGGAAGGAAGTGGAGGGAAATACCGGAAGCTCGTATTTCTCCCTTCCATTCCGCCCGGGGAACCGCGGCCCCGTGAAGTTTTGCAATTAATAAGTAATTTCTCTCCACTTTACAGCGGCGAGGAAAACTGTCATAAAAAGTTCCAACGCCCGTTTCTTTCGCTTCGACCCCTCCCCCCCCCCTCCCCAACCGATAAAAAACAATACAAATAAGGTATCGAGGGGGTGGGGGGGGGAGGAGAAAGAGCATCGTCGCGGGAATGGCTGTCATATATCATCGGGAACTAATTCCCTGTGGCCTCCGGGTGTGTCTCGAGGCTCGTGTTACATTTTTAAGCTGTCGCGCGAAACGATATCGATTACCTATTATCCGTACCCTCCTACGATTGAAATCACACTTTCAGCTATCATTTCAACACTCTTCAAACACATAACGCTCGACAGACATTTGTTTTATACCATTTGAGATATATAAAATGTTATAAATATCACATGAATATTATAATGTTATTGCAAAATCTATATCGTGTAATGACCAATAATGTGGCGCTACAGCACTAAAGAATATTACTTGTCTGATAATGAAGCTACAATGATTTTATTTGTACTTAATAAAATGAAAGTTCGTCAATTAAAATGAATGTTTAAAACTAGAATAAAACAATTGATAAAAAAATATTGAAGGATTGTCGCTATAGTTTTAGCTGTTTGAATAAAACTACTTTCTTATCTATATCTGACTTATCATTAACTGTTACTACTGGTTTTCTATTTTAGTTTTTATGTCTAATTTATCATTGGCTAATACCAGTGGTTTTCTATTTTATCATTTATACCTGACTAATACCATTGGTTTTCTATTTTACTCTTTATGCTTGACGTATAATGGACTATTACTTCTGATTTTGTTATTCTATTGCTTATTACTGCTTGCACCGTGTATATTCGTTCACCAGCGTCTGGAATACTCATTAAGAAATATAAAATTCTATGAAATAAAATTAATCGTGCATGGTGGGCGTATAATGGGAAACAACTGAAACATGAAGTCAACGAGGAGATCGTTTACACGTCACTCATGGAATTGTTTTCCGATCAACTTGTGCGTGAATCGAGTATAGAGAAGTGCAATTTACGCTGGGGAACGTCCGAGCCGAAGAATTGAAAGTGACTTTCGATAATGAAATTTAATTAACAAATCGGTCCCATTGGAAAATAGTGAACCATAAACAGATTAAAATACAGTCACGTTAAAAATTGACTACAACGTAGTTTATTACGAAATTAAGAAATAAGTAACTGTTCTGCCAACTTTAATATTAATAAACTAGGCATTTTTTAAAAATAAATAGGCTAAATAATATCCATTACAAATTTATCGATGAACGACCAGTATTTAGAAGGGAAAATATATTTTCTGTTCAAAAATTCCTGTTGTTCATTGTGTCAGAGAAGCAGAAGGATCCCCCACTAAGACGTGTCAAGTAGCGCGATAGATGACAGGCGCGGCGTGGAACATGTGCGGGAGACACCTAAACACCAGCAAAGACAACTCGTCTGACGGACAGTGTCACCTGGCTCGGTGAATAGAGCGGAGGGATGAACACCTAGGAAGATGGACTCCTCCAGGGATTGTTCATAAGTTATAGACGCGTTAATTAGAATGGAGTTTCCAGGGGCGACCGTTTAGACTGGTCGTGTCCAGCAAAAAGCCTTTCAATGGAAATTCCTTGTCCCTCGTGTTATTGAAATAAATTTCAAATCTTGAATTTTGTCAGTCCAGTGGAGGAAGATTTCGTCATGATTTCATAACGGAATTGTGCATTTCACTATGAATTAATTAGTTCCGTTTCTGCTTGCAGTAAGTTCTCCATTAGTGTTCCTCGAGACTGAACATTAAATATTTCATAAACTAATGGTCATATGCGACTGAAATAAATATCATTGGCTTCAGAATTCCAAGCTTTATCCATGTGCTAAACCTCATTAAAAAGTCATCGTTACACTGGAGGACGTTTCCTTATGAATACCGAATACCTCGAACACTCATCGACGGTTTACTGTATTACCATCACAAAAACACGCGTTTCCATTGAATTTTGAAATTCTAGTTTCTCGGGAACTAAGTCCTCGAATGAACCAATTTTATTCCAAACAACTGATTCGTTTTTTTATTAATATCGTACAACCCACATATGAAGCAGTTGCAAATAATTTTACAAATAAATACGTTCGAAAAATTATAAATAGAAGGGACCAAAAGTGGGCCTATAAAATATCGTTTAGAATTCGTCAGTGACCGAGCTAAGGAGCGCTGGGAAACTTTTGCGTGGCCCGCTTTTGTGCCCGTGTTCCGCATACAAAGAAAGAGAGAGAAAATTGCGGCCGATCTCTGCGGAAGCGAAATTATGAAAATATTAAGGGCACGGGGCGAGCCACTCGTTAAAAAGTAATTGCGCGAACTGCTCCGCAATAACTGAATATGGAAGAGCGAAACTCCGGGATTCGCGCGGATCCAAAGAGAGTGCGCGCGGCGACTCTGCTTTCTTTAGCCCCCGGTGCGGTTGAAAATTACCGCGCCGCTTGGTTTTCATATATTCAAGCCACGGGTAGACATAGAAACACGGCTTTCCCTTATTTATAAGGAACTACCCCTACCCGTCATTTTTCTCTGTCCTCCGGTTTCTGCCCGTTTTTTTAATACTAATTTCCGCAACGAGGAGTAAAAACGTGCACCGTAATCCCAAAGAACGCAATCCATCCGACGCGCGTTCTTTCTTTGATCTGAACACGGTATTCAGTTACGGAACGAAATACGATCTTTTTTTACTTATGGGCACCGTGGTCTGATAATCGTACGATCGAAATCATTGTACACGTTCCTTGCTGTCGATATCATATTATTTTATTAATGAAATGTTGCATTAAAAAAAATTATCATTGAAACCCACTAACATTGAAATTCAAGAATTTACATCATCATCGACTCATCATACTCGGTCCTACTCTACTTGCCTGACTGCGTAACCGCAATAGTCTACTTGACGGACCATATAAGGATGTTATTCCACTTGTCTGACCATATAAGGAAGTTATTCCACTTGTCTGACCATATAAGGAAGTCATTCCACTTGTCTGACCATATAAGGAAGTTATTCCACTTGCCTGACCATATAAGGAACCCATTCTACTTATTTGACGCTCCGAAGACCCTATTCTATTTGTCTGACCATATAAAAACCTGTTCTACTAGACTGCTTGTCTGACAGCGTAAGCGCAATAGTCTACTTGACGGACCATATAAGGAAGTTATTCCACTTGTCTGACCATATAAGGAAGTTATTCTACTTGTCTGACCATATAAGGAAGTTGTTCCACTTGCCTGACCATAGAAGGAACCCATTCTACTTATTTCACACTGCGAAGACCCTATTCTACTTGTCTGACCATATAAACACATGTACTACTAAACTGATTCCTCTCTAGTTGGTTCGATATCGACAGGAATTTATAATATGCAATATTTTACGTGTGAGAAAAGATGTTTGCTCGAGCACTTACCGCGTTGTTGGCGTACGTTTGATCCGTTTTGAGCTCCCGATGGTTGCTGAACTGAACGTAGACTATTCTGCCGCGGAGCTGGGCGATGCAAGTGGCGTAGTAAGCCACCATCGCTGTTGCAACATTCTCATCCGCCATTTCCAAAAACGCCTGGAACAGAAAACAAGCAGTCCGGGTTAAGCGGATGTTGAAATTAATTTGTACATTATTTTGCAGGTGATTACCCCTCACACGCTCGGAGGGAAAAAATATATTTTTTTTTGCGAAGCATCGTATCATAAATCAAGCGAAAATTGTAGACTCCGAGTTTTTTAAAGCCCGTGAAAAAACACACGGTTTGCTGCTTTGAAATTACAGGTTAAGAAACTTTTTTGAATAAACATGAAACGTCGAATAAATTCATTCTTGGGGTGTTTTACATTTCCGTTTGAGTTGTAAAAATTAATTTCAGATCGAGTAACTTCAGTTTAAATGATTCTAACTTTTGAAACGTCTGAGACACTTTTTGAAAACTGAACGGCGGATGGATATCATCCTGAAGTATATCTTCGCGCTCTGACTTTCACGAAACGTAAATATTAATACAGAATTATCTCTGTAATTGAGTTTCCGCGTACTCCGCGACTCCCGTCTCAATTTCAACGTCGATTTTTCGTAATATTTTAACCGCTGACACGTCAACGGGCAGCCACTCTCTGTCTGGGAATATTTGTTTTCCGTAAAAATGAATTTTATCAAGTGTTTTGTTATTTTGAAGTATTCGACGCCTCGAGACGATCCATACAGCTTAAATATTTACGATGAACTCGAGGAATAATAAACCACGCTTTACAGGGCAAAGAAAAGTCAACATCCTGATTGCATCATGCCAAAGACGTGTTTACACTTCAATGAAAAAAAAATACATATCTCAACGGATAATATTTATATTTGTAATGAAACATTGAATTTATGTTTACAATAACAATAGTCTCATAAATTTTGAAACGGTTTCAACCATATTAGTACTAGTCTGTTAGAGTTAACAGTTCAGTTTCGCATTAATACCTCTACAAACTCTCTAAAGTTTAACAATTAATTAAATTCAAGAAAGATATTTTCAATGTTAAAAAAAAACCAGAAGAAAATCTCAGTTGGATCGTGTCATAAATTTGACTATATTTGATCACCAGCGACATCTGTCTCGTCTAGCCATCCCCCATCCCTCACTTTCTTCCATGTACCTCCTTTTTCCACGATCCATTCCAATCGTCGGCTGAGAGGAAACGTTGCATCTGCATCGTGCTTCTGATCCACTTCCTCTCCCTGTCACCCCCACCCCGTTCCGCCATGCTTCCCGCCATATTTCTTTTTTCAGTTCGAATCAATATTGCTTAAAGGTACAGTCGCACGCGGGGACTGGCGCGAGGGCAATTTATCCTGGCTCATATTTACGAATTCAATACCTTATTATTTTCTTGGGCCCCGACTCTCCTCGCTTTACGGAGACACAAGAAACGAAAACAGGGAGAGGGTGGCTGGGGGATGGTTAGGGGCGAGGACAAAAGGCTTCGAATTATTGGGGTGGCTGCTCGCGTTTCGCCGCGTTACAAAGAACGACAGGGGTCGAAGGGGTTGAATACTTAAGGCGGCCGAAAAGGAATTTAATAAAGAACCGTTTGCTCCTCCGAGGAAAACTTCGAACAAAAGATCAACAGCGGCAACTGGCGGGCGACCCGAGTGTCGGAATTATTATATTATTACGTTTTGAAGCTGTCGAACTCGATATTCTATTGCGTTTGATATACTGTCGAACGGAATAACCCTTAAAAAGTGATTAACGTGTGTATACAGCTCTTAGAATTTTTTCTCCTAACCTAACCTAGATCGAAGCCAGGTACAATCCACATCCCATCTAGATCCTATCCATACTCTATGCATATCCCATTCAGACGCCATTCAGACCCCATCCAGACCCAAATCAAATCCATCCATACCACATTCAGATCCTATTTAGACTCCATCCATACCTCATCCAGACCCCATTTAGACTCCCAACCAGGCCCCATTCAGACCCCATCCCTATCCCATTCAAATACCACCTAGACCACTTCAAGACCCCATCCAGATCCCACCCAGACCACTTTAAGACCCCATCCAGATCCCATCGAGACCCCAAACAGGCCCCATTCAGACCCCAACCCTAGCCCATTCAAATCCCACCCAGACCACTTCAAGACCCAATCCAGATCCCATCGAGACTCCATTTAGACCCCAAACAGGCCCCATTCAGACCCCAACCCTATCCCATTCAGATCCCATTCAAATCCCACCCAGACCACTTCAAGACCCCATCCAGATCCCACCCAGACCACTTTAAGACCCCATCCAGATCCCATCGAGACTCCATTTAGACCCCAAACAGGCCCCATTCAGACCCCAACCCTATCCCATTCAAATCCCATTCAAATCCCACCCAGACCACTTCAAGACCACATCCAGATCCCACCCAGACCACTTTAAGACCCCATCCAGATCCCATCGAGACCCCAAACAGGCCCCAAACATGCCCCATTCAGACCCCATCCCTGTCCCATTCAGATCCCATTAACAACTCATTCAGGCCCCACCCAGACCACTTTAAGACCCCACCCAGACCCTATTCAGACCCCTCGAGGCCCCCTCCTGACCCCATCCTGAACATGGCTGCCAAAAGTAAAGTATATGAACTGTTTCATGAACATGTCTTGCACTACAAAAAGGTTAGAATAAGTGGGTAGCTACAAGAGTTCTTGGCTGCTAAAATGTCTACTCAGACGAACCTAAAGTCAAGTACAAACCCACGTACTAGAATATCGAATCCTTTAAGAATGAACTCTGTCAATGTACATGCACAAGTAAATTGTTTAACTGTACCAGGGAAAAGGAACAGTCACGTTCAGGTGGTTGCACCTCGTCAGACGCTAGTGTTAAACGCGCGATTCCCATTAAACGATTCGCGAAATCCGATCGAAGAATTCCCAGAACTTCGAACAACTGGAATTAACGGACATCGAGCCATTAAATTTCTGGGAACTCCGGCGACTACGTAAATAGGAGAGGGCAGGGTATTGGAAGGACAGTCACGCACTGGCCTGGATGAGGAAACGGCTGCGATCTTTCCAGAAGGCCGAGAAACATTTCCAGTCACTTTCATTTAGGAAATCGAGTCTCCTCGACGTAACTTTTCCGTAATAGAATCTTCTCAACCCTCGTGGAACTCTCATCAAAAATGGCACTATGATGGGGGGCTTGGCAGTCACGAATAGCAATCCTATCATGACTGAGCCCTACTTTACACGGGATTCAGGAAAAGCTCAATCCCCCAAACATGATCCAACGGAACATCCAATCATGTTCCCATATGAATTTCAACCAAAGTTTAATTGCCTCTACATCCCCGCCGAAAAACAATATCAATTTTAACCAAAATTTAATTGCCCCTACATATTCCCACCGCAAACCAAACAATACGAATTCCAACCAAACTTTAATTTTCCCTGCATTCCCGCCAAAAATAGGAAACACTTTGATAACAGCTCCACGGTGAAAAAAAAAATCATTCTCTCGGTCGGTAAAAACGCTGCTATCAGAAGGGGGATTGGGGAGGGGAGGGGCTTCGTTAGTTCCGGATCGAAAATTTCGTCGGGCCGGGAAACGTTTTCGTCGAAAAACGCGCAGTTTGCCCGCGGAAATCGAGTTTGACGGGACGAACGATCATTCATTCGGATTTCCATGGGGTGGAGGGGGGTCGTCGTTCGGCCGCCTTGCGCAGCACGACCCGACGCGCAGCCGAGAGCGCACGGTGGTCCGCGCCGGGACGGAAAATTTTCTGCACAAACGCTGGGGCAACACATATAGATGCATCCACACACAGAGGAGAGGCGGGAATAATGTCGCGGCCGGACGAACCGTGTACTGAATTTAACGGCGTTAACTCCGTTCCCAGCGCTAATGACGCATAGAGCCGCGGCAATTGGGTTTTCGTCCGAATGGAGGGAAATTCTCTGCGTGGGTCTCTGCCGAGGATACGATGTCCTTATGTCAACCCCACGCGCGCCGCATTATGGGGAGGAGGGGGGGGGTGCACGAGCGTAAATCGACGAATGACCACGCTATTGTTTGTCGATTAAACTGGTACTGCGATATCCGTGAAAATGATCTATTCACGGCCGGGATATCGTCGGTGAAACAAGGGAAAATGAGGCATGTGCTGCGCTGCCCCCTCTCCCTGAGGCAAAATTTGGTCTTAATGATTCTCCGTTTTTTTTTTCTATACCACAGTTTCTAACTTATCTTTGGATAGATGGTTCTGTGGTTTGTAGTGTGTGACAGTATTCGAAGCATCGATTTTTGGAACATTGCAGTAAATCATCGATGAGTGTTCGAAGGCTCCTAGGGATTGAATATAAAATAAATTTTGGGCTGATACAGATATCATTGGCTTCAGAATTAATCAGAAAACATCATTATGAAGTCAGCGTTACACCTGGGGACCTTTTCTTGTCAGTGCTTAAGAGCCTTCGAACAATCACCAAGAATTTACTGTAGTCTTTTTGTTTTTATGGGTATTTATAGTTATTGGGTGCTCAATTTTTGTTTCGATCGAATGTTAACTCGATGTACTGGAAGATTTTGTACATATGAAATAAGAATGAAATAATAATTGCATGTTTATACTGAATTTGATTAGAAAAAATAGTGGAACAGTTATTATTAATTCTAATATTTTGCGTAAGCATAATGAAGACAAATCAGAATTTTCTGAAAATGTTGAACGAATATATATTAATAATTAATAATGTATTAATGCTTTTTTGCGACATAACGTAACGTAGTTTTGTACAGCAAAGATAATAGCACGAAGGACAACAATGTGCATCTTGAAAATGTACAATCACCGAAAGAATGGGTGGCATGACGATAATCGTAGAGGCGTGGATATCTCTCGCGGTAACCAACCCCATTACAAGGGTACCGGCCGCGTTTATGGGCTCGTAAATCACCACAAGGGGGTGGCATTGGGGGATTATTATTTTGTGGATACGGTTACGTGTATAGGTACAAGTTGTTCCGAGGAATAATTTACAAGTACTCAGGAGTATATTTCTCCAGCCGTGGCACGTCAGACG